ACATATGTTGAAGATTAACAGCTTTTCCATGACACAGCAAAAAACCAGTTGGATATATTTGGATATAGCAGCGTTTCAGGACCTCAAAGTTTCCCTCTTCTTGCCACTCACTTGGGAGGATTTCACCAGAGTCTTTCTCGACCGAAAAGTAAACACAAACTAATTGAGTTTCGCCTGAATTGTAAGCAACGCTTGATGTTTTATCAAGGCCCAATAAGTGACAGTAAAGTTTATGTCTATAGATGCTGCTCAGTTTTGTTTGTGTAAAAATCCAATAAAATGACTGTTGTCATCAGTTTCCAAAAGGAATGCTCTGTAAATTATAATAAGAACCCTGAATTTAGGTATTTTTAAATTATTTGATTACTCTTCTTATCGCTATTGTGTAGTATTTTCGCTTTATGACAATTGTATTGTAAATTTCTGTTTCTCTTATTTAGACATAGTAGTATTAGGTCCACATCAGCTGTACAGTTGCTTATTTTAAACCTACTAATCAAATAAACGTATGTATGTATATGTATGTATGTATGATTAAGAGCACCCGCCGATGCGTGATTTGTACAGGTAAAACATGACAAATTGGACTTCCGAACTTTCGTGAACGTACATCGAACTCACATAATATCTCTAATTTATAAATATGTTTAAGGTTGATAAATGTTTGAGAACATATTAAAAGCTTAGCTGAAAATATGTGAATACAGCAGAAATAATCAGCAAAGTTACGATGACGCTTTCTTAAACCAACTCGAATAACGATTTCGATTTTGTTGGTTGAGTTATCAAAACTCCTTGTCTATTTTAGTACAAAAGACAGTGAAAGAAATCTTTGTCAAGATTTGTTGACAATTGAAAACACTGACTCCCACTTGAACGTGCACGCGCTTCACTATGCAGATGAGCTACTTGTACGTGTCAGACTTTCCTTTCAAAAACTTTTGCAAACTCGCCAAACAAACAGGAACGAAAAAAAACTATCAAAAACAGGGTTTGGTTATGATTAAGATTGTTAGGGGGACTACTAACAAACAAGAAGATCTGTTGGATCTTATAACCGCGCTTTAAAAATGAAACGGTTCGCTTAGCACTACCGTCGGAACGCAGTGCACATTCC